AATAGCGATGGCCTTTATCCTACTAGCGAATGGCCTCCAACCTAATAGTGATGGCCTCCAACCTAATAGCGATGGCCTCCATCGTGTAGAAATGATCCGCTTAAAAAACTTCCGTCGAACAATCCAAGCGAAACCCGGAACAGGGCCTCCACCGAACTGCCGCCCCTGCGGCCGCCTCTCCTGGTAATTTTGCAAAGCGTCCTTGCTCCTAGTAGCGATGCCCTTTGCTCCCAGTAGCGTCCTTGTTCCTAGTAGTACGGACAGGAGCCCCTAGTATAGTCCTTGCTCCTAGTAGGGAACTGTCGGCGGGATCTCTCATGTGAGACACACAACTGTCGATCTGCCGGGTCCCAGTGGGAACTGTCCGCCTCGATCGACGGAATCGGTCGACGTCCTTGGTTGGATTCCAACCTTCACTGCCGCTGCCTCGGAAAGGAGCTGAGCTGTTCCAGAGATGTCTGAAAAACCAGTGTGCAAATGGAAGTGAATAATGATAGACCTTCTCTTGACGATCACAAAAAAACAATTGATCGGGTTCCTCTGCAGATTCACTATCTTTAGCTTGTACAGCAAAGTGTCCTCTCCTTCGTGTGCAATAAATTCAGAAATCAATAATCGTTCTCCTTGCACTGTAAGTTCAACTCAGCATCCTCTTTCGCTGTCCGCGCTCTTCCCTCTCTCCCGTCAATGTCTCTTCCGTCTTGGCAGTTTCCTCCGAGCTGCTGTGACTCCCATCCTCCGAGGCAAAGCACTGCGCACCACGCGGCCAAGCGCCTGGCCGAAGGAGTGAGGAGTGAGTCCTGAGGAGTCGTGTGTCACCGAGACTGAATGTCTCGCCAAAATGAGCCATTAAATGACGATATTATACCATATATATGTATACTACCTATTTTATACCATATCATTTATATAATACAATATTATGTCTATATAGTGCAATCTAGTATACTGTGATGTGTATATATGTATAGTATAGCAAAAGGCTATAAATAGTTAACTAAAATGTATCTGAATCTTGACAGAGCGCAACAAGCCAGCAGGAGGGACGTGGGCATCGAGGTCACTAAGTCCTCATTACTACCAGCAAGGAAGATCTTGAACATCCAGCGACGGTCTCAAGGACTCATGTTGTCAGCTTTGTTCCTTTTTCTTGCTCCTAGTCAGAATGCTACTGGTAGCCATGCCAGGAGCCCCTAGTAGCGTCCTTGCTCCTAGTAGCGATGCCAGGAGACCCTAGCAGCTTCTTGTTCCTAGTAGCGATGCCAGGAGCCCCTAGTAGCGTCCTTGTTCCTAGTAGTAAGGCCAGGAGCCTAGTAGCGTCCTTGCTCCTCCTTAATTAGACATTAATGAAAACAGGATTGAATCGATGTTGTCGAGTGCCTGTGTCTAGGTCAGCCAGCCCACAGCGGCGGTGGTAGCGCTTCCCAACCCGCGGACGCTGGCGCCCGCTGTCGAAGTTCAAGCTTGCCAACTGCGCCGCCGTCATCTCGGCCTCGGAAAGTGTCAAAGACGAGGATATAAAGCAGAATCTCAGTGGTGGCGTCACTGTCTTGGATGAAAAACATGAAAATCCACACTTTCTGTCTTCAATGTCTTCCCGTGTGATTTTTATGGTCTTCTCATTTAAAGAATACTTGGCTTCCAGCGTTTTGTACCGGGTCTCCTAAGTCCCCGCAATGCATCCCTGAAGAGTTCGGCGTCAAAGCAGTCCCATCCCTAACCGTCCATCAATCACCTCACCTTTTCCATTTAGTATGTTCTAATTCTAATTGAATTCTTGTTTCTAGTAGCAAACATTGTTACTAGTATGGCCAGGAGCCCCTATTGCTCCTAGTAGCGATGCCAGGAAGCCCCTAGTAGCGTCCTTTCTCCTACCCTCTCAGACCCAACCACCGTCCATCTCGTCCATTTCCAAAAACCGCGTCACTTCGGTGTCGCCGATGGAGAGCACGTTGGCGATGCGCCCACGGCGCGGACACGTGCCTTCGGCCTGGACGACGAGACTGTCGAGCTCTGCCAGGACGCCATCCATGGCCTAGGACTGTGACGCTCCATGTGTTCGTCCACGAGTTCGTTGGTTCATGTGTTGCGGTTAATGAGAGGGTCCAAAGACCTTCTCGCTTTCCTCTTATTTTGTACCCTCTACCGGTTAAGAACTCAAGATCGCTGCACGTACGCCATCTATGTTGGTGTGAGAGTGTGGGTGTGAGTGGAAGGCACTTCTGGAGGTATGTCAGCCTAGAGTCGTCATCGACGAGGTGGATGTGGGTGCGGGTAGGGTGCGGGTAGGGTGCGGGTAGGGTGCGGATGGGTGGGTGGAACAAGAAGGAACAAGTGAGAGAGTCAAAACTGCCGAGTACAATGTCGGAAACGTCGCATAAGCTAGACATGTCAGGGCACAGTCCCCTTGCATTTCTGGCCCAGGAGCAGCTTTCTTCCAAAGCATGTATTCACCCTGCTCGTCAGCAAACTGCAAGGTTGGATCAATCTCCACATAGGCCTGACACTCTCATCACTCTCCGGATGGCTTTTGGACCAGACCACTTTTCATGTCCACTTGCGCCATGTGAGGTGCTTGCTCCTAGTAGTAAGGCCAGGGGCCCCTAGTAGCGTGCTTGCTCCTTGCTTCTCATTGTTCGCCTGTTGAGCATAGATCACTTTGATCGGCCGTTCCGAATGGGAGGAGCCGATGTAACTCCGCAGCTCGGGGAGCCATCTCCTGAGAACAGAGGGGCAAACTGGGCCAAGCTTAGGCCTAAGGCTTCGGGGCCTAAGGCTTAGGCAAGAACGCTGCTAGGGGCTCCTAGCCTTACTACTAGGAGCAAGAAGCTACTAGGAGCAAAGGGCATCGCTACTAGGAACAAGGGACGCTACTAGGAGCTTTTTCGCGCGCGCGAGGCCATCTTGGGCCCCTCCTTTTAAATTTAGGTCCCCTTTAAAGGAGCAAGAAGCTACTAGTAGCTGTTGGCCATCATACTACTAGTAACAAGAAGCTATATACTAGTAGCAAGGGCGTTACTACTAGCAACAAAAAGAATGAAATTAAAGAAAGAAGTTGAAAAAAGGCCCAAGTCCACCTGTTTTTTCACTTTTCTGAAGCAACTCTTGACTGGTCGGTCACCCATCCACCCGAAGGCAACTCGACCCGTTTTCACCTCACAGGGATGTTCCCAGACGAGTCGCTTGATGGTCTTCTCCACCCAGCCAGGCACTGCGTTGGTGACCACGAAGACAAGGCCCAAGTTGTTAGCGACCTGAACGTTCAGGGAAGAAGACAAAAAAAACAGCTTGTGTAGAAGTTCTATCTGCAAATTGCAGCTTCTCTGTAAGACTATGTCTAGGGGCTCCTGGCATCGCTACTAGGAGCAAGGACGCTACTAGGGGCTCCTGGCCGTACTACTAGGAACAAGAAGCTACTAGTAACAAGACGCTACCGGGAATTGGTGCCAAGAGGGAATGGAATCGACGATCCTGCTTTTCACTGCCTCTCGCAGTGAAACGATCTTCGATCCGACGCCGACCTGGATGAGCTTGATACAGGCCTTCTGAACATGCTTGATGATCTCCCTTACGTGAGGTTCATCAGGCAGTGGCTGCTTGAACCAGCTGGGGATGCTGTCCCGCCAATCCTCTTCCTGAAGAACGATCCACAACCATACAAAAATAGATAAAAAGATGATTTTGCAACAAAGGTCCCTGCTTCAACTGAACTGATTGAATAGTTTTTGCCTAAAGAACTCACAGTAACATCAAAAGGTAAATCTTGCAAACATCAAAAATGTCAAAAATTGTCCAATGCCAATCCAAGGTGACCCTATCCACGAAATGGTCTTGATCCACCCATTCTTCGACGTCCGCCATGTGCTCCTTGTTTTGCATTCAAAGACTCCCACAGCACCCTAGTAGCATGCTTGCTCCTAGTAGTGCGGCCAGGAGCCCCTAGTAGTGTGCTTGCTCCTAGTAGCGATGCTAGGAGCTTGCTCCTAGTAGTACGGCCAGGAGCCCCTAGTAGCGTCCTTGCTCCTAATAGTATGGCCAGGAGCCCCTAGTAGCGTCCTTGCTCCTAGTTGTCAGGCCAGGAGCCCCTAGTAGTGTGCTTGCTCCTAGTAGCGATGCCAGGAGCCCCTAGTAGCGTCCTTGCCCCAAGTTCAAATTTGCGTTCTGCAAAATGTCAGCGTGCGTGTCGATTACAGTTCTTCCGTGTGTTCTTCCAGCACCTAAGATCGATCTCAGATACAAACCTCTTCATGTTCATAACACAAAAATAATCGGTCATGACGGTCAAAGACGTCTCCTTGAGCAGGCTCCGAATCCAGCTGGTGGGGCACAAGGTATCATCCCAGTCGAAGAAGATCACGTTTTGTCGGTTTGGAAAGGAGACGGGCCGGGGGCGCGGAACGTAAGGTGACCTCGGCTGAAGGAGATCGGTTTGCCGGTTTGCCGGAAGAGAAAAGCTCAAAAAATGAGCTAACCCAAAACAACGCTACTAGTAACAAGAAGCTACTAGGAGCAAAGGGCATCGCTACTAGG